GAATCGGCGCGCTGGAGACACCCCCGGAAAAAATAATAATAAGGGAGACGGGCGGGCCGCGTCGCGCGTCGAGAACGTAATAAGGGATCCATTCCAAGTTTATAAACTGAATATTATTGAGATACTAGCTGCCGGTAGCGAGGAGCGCCGTGACAGTGAGCGATGAGGTATCTCGCAGTTCTCCGATTTTCTATTAAACGTCGATTTATTTATGGAATATTCGATGCGACGTGTCTCGCGACGGTGAGGGACGCTGCGAGGCTGAGCCGACATAGAAAATTCAAATCAACCCCCGTTGCGCCGAGGAATTTTTCGCGAAAAGCCCCTAATCCGCGAATCATTCGCGGATTCCTTCCAAATCACGGGGGCGTCTCCCGTTATTTCAACGGGCAAAATAATATCTGACACGAAAGAAAGAAGACTTTAATTTAGTTAGATATTCTCATTGCGCGTCAATTAGATGTAAATCATATTTCAGTTCTAATTATTTTTACAATTCACTAATTAAAATGCAACTTTATCTCGACGAGGCCACACGGAAACGAGTTCAGCGGAAATGCGTCAAGAAAATTGATCAAGTTGGTGAAAGAAAAGCAGAAAAAAAACACACAAACGACATAATCAAATTAGGTGCTTGACGTAACCGGAAAGAAGCCCGGGACGGGAGAGCTTGGCAGACGTGGCTTGCCACCGGAGGCCCCGAGGACCCGTCAAATTTCAGGCAATATTGTCGATTGTTCCGACGTGTTTCGACGACAATAACCTGCTCGAGACGACAATAACGCGCTCCCGGGGGCAAAGGACCTCCGATCGAGCATGCAGCGCGACGTGTCCGGCCCTAATTCCACTGTTTGCGTATGCAAACGAAGAGACGAGGTCACCGACGGGGTGCCAGGATATTCATGCGCATTTCCATCCTCTTCGTTTTGTCGTCCAGCCGCGTACAATAAGCGTGTGTGCATGCGCGGACGATCAAGTGAGCAGTCGCGGCTCGCTAAGGGCTAAGGGCGGCGGGCTGCGATGGAAATATCGAAATGCAATTTCAAATGAAATTACCGCGGGCGCGCGCGAGATATATTACAGGTAGATTAATTCGATTTGATTACACCGAGCGGCGTCTCTGAATTCTTACATTACAATGAATAACGGGCAAATTAACGAACGGAAACGGGGAGAAGGAGAGAAGGGTGATGAATAAGCGCTAAAGGGAATGAGGACGCGGAGTTTTGAAAATTAAGCGAATGTATTTAGCGGCGCATACGCCCCGCTCTCGCGCTCCGTTATTAATCAATTAGCCGATATCTCTTCCGGCCCGAAATAAATATCAGGAGTAACATTTATTAATAAACGAGAACGGCCGCGGAGATGGACGAAATTCGCCGTGCACCTGCGTCGCGAATGGAAATTAATTCGCCGCTCCCCGCAACAATCAAATCGTCCCGAATTTGATGCACGCGTTAGCCGCACCGCTCGCTCGCTCCCTCGCTCTCTCTCTCTCTCTCTCTCTCTCTCTCGCGTGCGCCATGCGTGCGTCTGACAGGTGGGTGGTGCGGGTGCGGCGGTGCGCGGTACGCAAGTGGAAATAATACGAATGACGTCAGAGCGCCTCGGGAGTTCGAGCGGGGCCGCCGGATCCCCGGTATACGTGGGATCAACCGATATGGACGCGATTAACGCAAAGAAAATATGCGAAACCGTCGGGCGAGCGATCGCGGCGAGGGGCGGCGCGATGCCCGCAGGGCCGGGGCCTGGCGAGCTCGAAGGGACGCTTTGTGAAGCGAGGCGCCCTTCGGCCGAGGCAGGGGACGCCGTCGGTATATGAAAAGTCTTTCCGACCGAACGGTCGCGAAATTGATCAAAGTGACGCGCAGAAAATCGATCCCCGACGTAATCTTCGACGCGCGAAACGTGGGCCGGTCCGCGCGTGCTGTTTTAAACAGCGGGAAATCACAACGGGGCCACAATCGCGACGCAACGCGCTGAGAATCGTGCGGATCTGAAATGTACAGGGTGTCCCAGGAGGAAAGGTCAATATTCTGCGAGGTGATAGTATCGGTCACATTTTTCAACCCTTGTGTGAACATGGCGTGTTGCTCGTTCGACATTTGTGAATATGCGAGGCATTTTGAACATTTCTACAGTCTTATCAGCACAGCGGTCAAGAGACGTATACGAGTAAATTCCCGCAGACGTTTATGAGGGTGTTGGATGAAGGGTGAAGTGTACAGAAAAAAAGTACATACACGAGACATTCAAGTAGCTCCATCTCGGAAACAACGGGGAATGGGACATATATTCATACGAACATTTTTGCTTAAAGTGACCGATACTATCACCTCCCAGAATATTGACCTTTCCTGCTGGAACATGTTATATATGCAAGATGGAACAGTCCATTTTTTATGCGCGCAGGGGATTAGCTAAACGCCAAAGATAGCCACGAAGATAATACGCTACTTAGTACGCGGAAGCAACAATTACAGCGGAATAAATTTCGAATTTATCATCTATTGCCCCTTGATTTTATATTTCGACAGTTATAACGAATACCGTTACGTGGCTCTCTATTCTAAATGCGAGAGTGATGTTAATAAAATATAAATATTAATCAGATAAAAAGATTAAGATGTGAAGGTTTAACGAGAGTAAGAATCTTCGCCGGTGGTTAGCCGCGAAGAACACGGCTCACGCCCTCGTACCGACGGGCATTGTGTATTAAAATTAAGGGAATACATTAAGCGAGTTAATGTTATTCAGCTTTTTGTTCGCGGCGCTTCTATAGAGGCGGCGGTTCTTTGCCGGCAGCCCGAAAACATCCTCTTTTCTCTCCCTTTCCCGAGAACACGAATCCGCGCGTTGTATACTTGCCGCGGCGAGCCGACAAACTTCTTTGCGTTGAACTCTTAAAAACCTTATACAGCGTGTCGCAGAACTATCTCCACTTTTCTCAACTACCGGAAGATGAATCACGAAGGATACTTTCAATATCGAAGCTTAGGAGCTGCACGAGCCGCGGTTGCCTCGCGAACGCGAAGTCGACTTTCGAAGGGGATGACGGAAACGAACTCTATAAAAAGTGCGAGTAATAATATGATATTCAGTTAATTTTCAAGCGCAATTTTTACTTCTGCAATAATGGAAAAGGCATTTGTGCCGGACTTTACGGGCTTCATATTCTACGCGGTTATCTTCCGCTGGAAATAGTTTAATTAAAGTTAAAGTAACCACCGGGAAATACGATACCGCGGAAAATACAATGACTCGGGCCGAAGAGAAAGAATCGAGAGAATAACGCAAAGAGTATCCCCGGTGCCTCTCAATCGCTAACTACCTGTCGTTGAAAGCACGCCCCACCGATCCGCTTGAAAGCTTCCCTCCTGCACTCGTATAAAGGGGAGCAGAACGCATTCTTTCGCGACAACGAAGATAAGTTGCACAAGTTATCTGATGTAATAAGATCTCACCTTCCACGACTCTTCTGTGGCGGCTGCATTTCAGATAGACCTTTATTTCGCCCCGCGTACAAGGTAGCTCGAATTCCGAATTATTTTATATAAATATGCCACGCTTCAGTCTCGCTCAATTATTTTATTTATGGATCCACCTTCGATCGGAAAAGATTACGAGGATAGTCACGCGTGAAAACGGCCGCGTCAAGCAGATTTGCGTTTCAGGTTTTCACGATTGACGCACTAGTAAACTTTGTGAATCGAAACGATGAATTGTAAATAGTAACAATGCAAATTCGCTAAGCATCGGCGACGCAATGCGGTTGCAGCTGTAAAGAAAATAAGAAAATAGACGACGAGATTCCGGAAATTTCGCGCGTTAACGACGCATACGCGCGTACGACGACCGGTGGAATTTACCGCACGGTCGGATTATTAGCTCGCTTTTTCACTCGCTCCGTTTAGTTTACCAGAGATGTTAAAGGGAACTGGCCATTTCTCTTACACGAGAAATTCAATCCCCGATCTTTTGGTCTGACAAAATGAACGTGTCGCATACGCAATTTTACATTTGAAAGAAAAAATTCTCTCCTTTTTACCTTTTTATTATCTTTGAAAAAATATATTAATGGAATAAGATATATTATTTCACGCAGGGTATAATTCCCTACGCTTCAATAACAGTCGTATTTTCTGCGCGTATAATTTAATATCTTATTCTCTTCCACGCGCAGTCGTATAGATTCATCTTATCTAGATTTTAATTGAATCGTATTTCAGCAATACACGATTCAATTAATATCTTTTTATCATCTCAAGATAATCGCGCCCGTCCCTCGCCGCTATGAGTTGGGCTATTAGCTCCCACGTAAAATTGACGTAAGTAGCATAATGGAATGTTGATAGCTGTTGTTGCTTGTTTATTTCAAAACGCGCAAGATCGCCGAGTAAATTAGGCGCGCCGGCGCAACGCCCGTCCCACCGGTTAGCCAATACACCGACGCTCACCCCTCGTTCTGCGTTGGAAGTATTTCGGACGGAATTTTAATTAATATCTCGCGGCTTGTAGGGCGCGCGCACAAGAGTGTAGCGTGAAGCTGCAAAAGCCGAGGGATGAAAGGCGATACCCGATGTGCTCCAAAGACCCCGCCAGGGGTGCTTTTATATCGGCACTAAAACGTCCCAATTGCTCCGAGGGAGGAAAAACCGACGGAAGCGAGAACCGGCGAGAACGCGCAACGGTCCCTTTTGGGTAAAACTGTTTACAATCATCGTTAAAATCGCCCGCGGCGATTTTCTAGTCGGCCTGTCAAAAAACTATCGGTAGAAAATATCAATTTGAGAGCGAGCGGCGATTGCTCTCGCGCAGACTAAACTCCAAAGAACGGCTTCACGCGGCTTGTACAATCCCGTTACGCGCCGACACTCGCGTCTGAATGAAGCGCGCGACCGGAGCACAGCATAAAAATATATAATTGGCGCTCGATCGTACTTTTGCATTATCGCGAGACTCGTTTCTTCGGAGTTTGCCAGGAGGGTAAGTCGACTCACCTTTATTCCGAGGGTAGGCGTCAGCATTCCGTAGTCCGTAATGGGTGGCAGCATAACAGGGGGTAGGTTTGTCATCATCATACTGTCTAAATTCTTCACACGTATTTTCCGTCGGTGTATCGAACACACAATTCTATTGCCTATTAGACCTACCTGAAACACACAAAAAAAGTAGAAAACGTTAAATTGTTAAGAGATGCTTCAAACACTTTTAATTGAATAATTAAGAAAATTGTTATGGTGCAGAATCGCTACACTGAGAAAAATTTCCAGCGGATAAACCAATTAAATATAAGTGTTTCCGATGGTTAATTTTTCCCGATTAACTTTTCCGATTAAGTTATGCATAATAAAACTTATCCGATGGAACGCGGTTACCGACGAAATTTGATCGAGAAACCGATTGGCATCTCGAAACTAACTTGACCGGCTAAAACTAAGAGGTCGCAAATTTAATACGGTAAAATCCCAATTGCGTGATGCAAATAGTGATGCCGCATTCGTTTACAATAACAGTTGCTAAAGTTTTACACACGCGGACAATATTTGCCGCGACCGCATCGACTGACAGACTTGTCACTTTGTCCCTAAATCACGGAAACGCCAATCGATTGCGGCGCTACAAAGCGCCGATGAAAGCTCCCGACAAAGGGCCGGGAATAGTTTCGTATCCCAACTTTTCCATAAACCGGTAACGCACTGTTGACATTTTCGAACATGGTCCAAAACTCGCGGCAGAGCGGGGTCCGAGAATTCGGTTAAAATTTCGTCGCAAGCCCTTGGCCACGCCGCCCCCGGTCATAGTTGTGTAGTTGCACCTCAATTATACAAACCACTCAATTACAAAATTAATCCATTAAGCCTCGACGGTATCACGAGGTTAGGCTTGGCGCCGTTAGGATGCCCGGCTAAGTTTGGACGCGTAGATCGTATCGGCGCAAAAGTCGGCGAAGATCGCACGATTGCGACTGCATTAGTTAACAAAGCCCACGATTGAGAGAGCGCCAGAATTTCGGACTGATTACCTCGATATCGAAAGTCCGAAGGCGAAAGAGCGATTAAATAACAGAGCCCTTGAAATAACATGCCGAGATAATAGTTGTTAAGTCTCCCAAATGTCTTCGAAATTCATTGCCGGAAACATCAGTCAACGAGAAGAAACGTTAGCCAGCTTTAATTCTCAAACTCCGCAACATCCAGGTGGTCTAAAAGGGAAAAGCAACGTCTAAAATAGACAATTGCTTTCTCATAAGGCATTCATGATTTCATTTCCACTCGGGTAATGCCCACTGGGCATTAGTGGGCATTGGTGTACAAGATTTTGGTCAGCGGTTTGCTCTCTTAGCATTTCGATAACGAGTTCATACGCGGGTATTTTGTGCTCGAGAAGTAAGTTCGATACGAATCAATAAGAATGTCCGATTAGGAAACTTTCCATCGAAAGCAGCTGTTGGTTTCCCGTCAAACTTTCCCGTCGCATCCGCAAGTATACGTTCCCAAGTCAATAGCTGGTGTCGCGGTATCCCCCGCAATGTGGGATTTATCCGTATCGTTCCGCCACGTTGGCGCATCGTGTAACGACCCCCGTGTCGAGAATTCGTGACGGAATCGTTTCGGCGGGATCCTCGATCCCGGGGTGCGAGGTAGTCACGTATCGCGCGGGCTCTGAGCCGGTCTAAGTGCTCTTCAATTACGCGGCGACGCAAGCAATTATGAGCGTAATCCTTTAAGATTTACATGGCAGACACGCGCCCGCGACGCGCAGGCAGACCCGGGGTTTTAGAATCGGCTGGAGGAACGAGGCCAAGGGACGAGAGGGGCGAGCACTTCCGGCGGCTACGGGGGGGGGGGGGGGAGGCGCACGGGGAACGCCGTGTTACCACGGCGTTCGCGGAAATAGAGATTTCGCGAGGGGTCTTACCCCGGATTTGCCGGTTAAGCCGCCTCGAATCGCGCTGTTATACAGCGTGCTCTCTCCCTCCCATCTATCCCCATCCTCTTCTGCACTCTCTCTCCTCGGCACATCTCCCTCGTCACTTACTTTCAGATCGCCGAGAGCCACGTGACACCAATCTAAGTTTCGAAGTGCTCCCTCTTTCTAGCTCTATCGCCTCCTCCCTCCCTTTCTTTCGCCCGCGTCCCTCTCCGTTTCGCGGTGCCTCGCCCTCGCACTCCGCCGCTCTCTCGCGCCGCCTCATTTTCTCACTCCGTGACGTCAAACGAGATTATTCGTTTGCGAAAGTTGGCCGAGTTGCTAAACATCGGCGCTGAGTGACCGTAAACAATGGAGAGGGCAACGTTGTCGGTACCCGGCCATTGAAATGGCCAATGGCTCCGGGTGTGTAAATTTCGCATTAATTACGCGGATAAAGCGTATGATACGTTATAATTAGATGGCATTTCATTTGTAGCGCGTATCGCGCTTTTAAAGCCGCCTAGTCCCGCTAATTCTGAAATAATTGTACGAAGCGACGAAACAATTCGCGGCAGATCGATAGAGCGATCCCGTGAAACGAGAGACGCGCCTCACGCGAGAGGCACGAGTGGTCGCACCACGCGTGCGTCCCGATCCCCGATCAATTCGGATATAATTCCTGAGAAAGTTGGCGAGATCGCCCCGCGGTCGGTGCGCAAAGGACTCGTGAAAAATTCAGAGCTTTTCTCTCGCGAACGAATGAAGACTCGGGGAGGCTCCGCTGGATGGGTTAAAAAGCCGGGGCGACGGTAATATCGAGGCCGCGCTTCAATAAACAAGGAGGCAACGGGCGATCGGGCCGCGTAATAAATTACCGCAACGATCGGCGGGGAATATGAGGCGCGCTTTAATGCACCCGCGAGATCCCGCGCGCGCGGTCGCACGGTCCCCCCCGCGTATCTATTGTGCAGCAGCGCCCAGGTATAAGGGAAATCGAAATGCGTCTGGCGGCCGTTCCTCGCCCCATTTTCCCGCCCGTCTCGTGCTTTTTTCCTCAACGGCACCGGATATTTTATTCAACGGCACTCCGCTCGCGCGCCGTTTGATATTGCAGTCTCATTGCATAAAATCCGAGGCCTGCATAAAACAGCCCTTCGCGCCCCCGGACCGCGCGGGCCCGGACACCCCGGAACACGAGCGGGGAGACCGCCGTTACGGCAGTAGAATGGGATGCTCGCGCCGCGATCGAATCCCCGAAAGGGATTTCCAAATGCAATTTCCGACGGAGTGCGTCAGCTCATTAATGCCCGCGAGTAGCGTTCCTTGCTAAAAAACGGCCGTAAAGAATCTCGTATCTCGGCGTTTCCGCCCGCCGACGTCCGCCATCGCGTTAAAACGCGGCTCGATTGTTGTTACTCCACCCCCGTAACAAACTGTGCGGCGTCGAGCGCGCCCGTGGCGCGCGGCACCGTCACGCCCAGTTTAAGGGTTAACGCGTATCAGCATACCGCTCATTGAATTTTTTTTCGCGGCGTGAATACCAACGGAAATATGTGGAATATGCGCGCCGTCCCGCGGCAGAGGGGGCGAATTTTGAAAAATAATTCACACATTGAAAAATGGTTCGCGACACACGGCGCTCGCAACGCGCGTAAACGTGCGAATGAAACGGTGCGCTCGCGGAAGGTTACGCATAAGCCCGGTCTACATTGAGACAGAAGCCAGCAGTCAGAAGACATAAGTGAGTTATAAGCCTGTTATAAGATACTCACAAGTCGGAACGCGGCAATCATAAGAAGATTGCCAAAACCCAATCCTTCCGAATTATAGCTTATACGTGGCTTATGATTGACCACTCAGAGCCAATCATACGCCCACCATTTTCATCGAGAGCGCCAAGCCACCCAAGACATCTTTGGCTATGGGGCTATGGTTATATTCCGAAATATTTATGTGAGAAAAACTGGTACCTACTGACAATTTATAGTATATGCGTGTAAGTATATCATGTAATCGTTGCGAAAAAAAATTTGTGATCGAATTTGGACGTTGAAAACCTACCATCTCATATTAGAGGACTTTCCTCTCTACGTGAACCGAGAATTAATTACACTCGCTACATCCAGGAAAAAGATTCAGTTAGGTTAAACAAATGAGACACGTTGAAATCGTGTTCCTTTGAAACCACTAAACTTCTACTAAAACATTCCCTAGATCTGAAGAAATACATAATAATTTTCTTAGAAATTCCAGTCTCAATCGAATAAAATTTTGGTTAAGAAAACATTTCTTTGAAATTACATAAAAATCTAGTGAGGTCAAAATTCAAACAAATTTGTTTCATTTCAAGCAAACTTTTTTTCTGGATGTGCAGCACTGTTTCGTACAAAACGCAGAACAAAAGTTCAATCCGTAAGTCATATATTAATATAAAAATTTGACATCAACGGGTCGTAATAGATAATGGGACGTTCCAACGTCAGTTGAATTAAATATTCTTCTGCTAAAATTAATTAGGCGTAATTATATAACAACGTGGACAGATTTCTATTTCGCCGCGTATCTACGATTAAAGATCATTCTGCATGATGGAGGAGCAGAAACAGCGATCCCTCAGCGAAATCTTCCAATATTTCTTCATCTCGTATTATCTTGAGCGCGGCAGCTCATCGCGTGAGAGTGCAGTGATAAAACAAGTTATCGTTATAACAGCAAGATATGTGATATGCGCCTCCATAGGAAAATGTACATGAATTTTTCATACGTGCTCGCGTTTAAGCGAAAGATTGATAAAGGGTAATCGCCAGCGGCGGTGTCAACACCTGGCACTTAATCGCAATATCAATACTGCAATTATCCGAGCTGCGCTTATATTCACTAATTCTTTCCTCCCGTTGCAATGGGGGGAAAAAAAACGTAATCCATACGAGCCCCGGTGCAAAGCATGAAAGGCGATCGGCGTTTTCAAAAAGTCGTCCAAGCACAAAATATCACATAGAGTCGCAAATTGCGATCGCCAATTAGGATTACGCCGGATGGTCGTTCGGTCAACGATATTCGCGGTATTACGATTCGCGAGCGCGTATATCGAATTGGAAGCCTTGATATCGACCGCGACACTCATCATCCGGGATCACGGCCCGTAATCCGAATCGATCCCGCGTCAATAGCTAGGCATACAAGAGCGGGCTTTTTTATGGATTTGGTCCACGGGTTAAATCCGAAGGATTAAGCCCGG